CACACACACACACACACACACACACACACACACAAAATAGCACTCGGAGACCTTGGAATGATTTCTCTGTCGGTCAGTGAATGCTTCTCTCGTTTAACTCTCCAGCCAAGAACACGTGGAGCATGGTGTCTACAGACGGTGCACTGGTTCAGGGCGGCTACGGCCACAGCAGCGTCTTCGACCCGGGCACCAGAGCCATCTACATCCACGGCGGCTACAAGGCCTTCAGCGCCACCAAGTACGGCTTGGCTGGAGACCTGTACAAGTTCGACGTGGACAAGAGGAAATGGTGAGGTCATCTGTTTGATTATGATGTAATGATATTTAGCTCTGTGACGATGAAACACAAATTGACATCCCTTTGTATTCGGAGCTCGTACTCAAGAAAAGTTGTAACAGCAGATAAAACTCCACCAAACGGCTTTTCTGAACTTTTCCGTCACTGTGCGTTTGTGTAGGACCATCCTGAGAGACAGCGGCTTCTTCCGGTACCTCCACACGGCGGTGATAGTGAGCGGGACGATGCTGGTGTTTGGAGGAAACACACACAATGACACATCCATGAGCCATGGCGCCAAGTGCTTCTCCTCCGACTTCCTGGCTTACAGTCTGGGTGTGTAACACACACACACTCACAGTCACAGTCACACAATAGCAGCTCCTGCAGTTCACTTTCCTCCCTTCTGCTGAGCGTGCATCATCTTTTTGTTTCCCTGCACCGAGCTGCTTTGCATTCATACGGTCGCCTGGACTCTCGGGAGCTCTTCATCTCAGCCACAGTGTTTTGTTGTCGGACATTGAGCAGCTCCACTGAGCCAAGAGAAGGTCAAATGTCGCAACTCCGTGTAGTAAACTGCAGCCCGCTCTCATACAAAGGAAGCTTAATAATACGGTGTGTAGTTCTCAAGCGGTGTTGTCGTTTTGCCTGCTCACACTCCCAGTTAATATTTGTAAGGTCATGTATTAGGTCACTGTCACATCGCCTATTCTGACTAGATCTCTCGTGGGGTAAAAAGAGTCGGGGTCTTCGGGGGAGACGATGGAAGATGAGCGGCAGTTCACAGGCGAGAGTAAACCCAACGTGATCAAAGCTCAGTGGAGTAAACACTAAACTGCTCAGTCCTAGATTCACACCAGTGACCTCTGGGGCATAATCTCAGCTCTCAGATGTTTTACCTGTGCTCCTCTCGTTTTATCCGTGGTCAAGATACTTAACCCTCAGCTCGTGTGACAGCAGAGAGAAGAGCGGTTCATGTGTATCCGTCTGTAGAAGAGGCAGAGAAGAGCGATGGATTTCCCGACCCGATTTATTGGTTCAGTATGAATGTTTGTTTCCTCTGCTCGGTCAGAAACCCTCCTGCCACCCTCATCGACAGGCAGCTCTTCTTCTGCAGCTCTGTCGTAAGCCGCTCGTTAATCGTAAAACTTCATCCTCACCGGATGGGAGAGAATTCCCTGCAGGCCGCGAAATGGCCCCGGGACGTTCTGTTTTTCTGTCATTACGAAGATGATTGACAGGCAGCGGAATGACAATCTCAGGGGCACAGGCACCCCCCCTCCTCTCCCCTCCTCTCCCTGTGCAATTGTCTTTCGTTCATGAGAATTGCATGGTGGGACTGAAACATCTCCAAACGTCCCCTTTTGGCGTGAAGGCTGCAGCTGCACGTGTAGAGGCTTACATACGTGTACGTTAGCACATGTCCTCAATGAGACGAAGTCATCTCACACCTGTCACTGCAGGAAGTAAATAGTTTTCATGATTTCCCTTTTAGAAATTAAAAAACTTCATATATTGTTCTTTTCCCCTTTTTCATTCCTGACCTCCCTCACCTTGGTTTCCTTTTTATCTCTGAACAAAAAAGACAAGCCCACTATTTTTGTCACCACACACACACACACACACACACACACACACACACACACACACACACCAGCTGCAGGGTTGCTGTCAGCTGCAGCAGCAGCTCCGTAATTGTCTGGTAATTACAGTCGAGATGGACCGCACAACGAGGACTAATTGCCGCTCCTTAACAAGCTGAACTCAATTAGAGCGTTGAATTTAAGGGCCGTCCGCTGTCCTGACTTTGGTGGATGGTGTCGTAATCAATCCCTGCTCCGAGGGGGCATTGCGCCACTCCGTCTGCAGTACCAGTGTGTGACACCAGAGAGCACTGTCTGCCCGTGAATGACGAGCTCTCGGAGATGTCACTTCCTCCTCTGGGAGACGATGATGACTTGCACTGCATTGTACCAACTGAAGGTGATATACTGCGGACGCTGCTCTGTGTTCCTGCAGCTTTGACTTTCAGCCTCACATGTCAGGTCTTTCTGTTTTTTCTTTGTCCGTGCAGACACATGATGGGTTCACACACTGTCACACACTGCAGGAGCTTCATTTAGAGGCAAACCTAAAGAATCCATCCCCAGACTCTGTTTTATTTATTTAACCAGGATGTTTTAATGAAAGGTTTTTTTTCTTTCTTCACAATTCCGCATATGTTCACTATACAGGTGAAAGAATTTCAACGTGTTGCTCGCCCCTTGTCCGCGTGGAAATCTAGTTATTGAAACACTGTTTTTTGAAAAGTTTTCATCAACACCAACCCTAGAGTTTGCTTTATTTGACTAAGGGTCGGGTAATACTGCTCTTAACAAGTTTAATGCAAATTAAACCTAAAAAATGAACGGCAGAATGTCTCGGATGTGGACGCCACCATCTCGTGCTTATCAGCTCTCAGCTGTCAAACACATTTCAACCTGTTTTCATATCATCTTAAAACTAATTAAAACCAAACTTCAGTGTGATAAGAGCGTCTATAAACACTGATCAGTCACGTCATCCGTCTTTATTTATCGACAAGAAAAAGCCAGCCGTGTATCACAGGGTCAGAGCAGCTACGCAAATTTCATTTTATTTCTTAGCTATCGACCAAAGGAAGTGTGATCTGAAACGGTCCTTAAAAAAGAAAAGGTGAAACGTCTGTAGGTCAAACCCGCAGCAAATTAAATATGGTCGACTGCCGAGGCCGCTAACGTAATTATTGTATGAGATCATTTTTAATTCCCGACTGCATTTACTTGCCACGATTGTTGCTCCTGTAGCCGTCCGGCCCCTCGGTGTCTCGGTCAAGGACGTTTTTCTCCAACCGTGCTTGTGATTGACAACAGGATTTGAGTCGTTAAAGGTCTCGCTCACCACCAGAGGCATGTCAACTGCTGAGGACGCGTATGTGATTGAATATGTGGGAGCAGGTCAACAGTCTGACCTCTCTGTCTTCCTCTCTTTGCAGCGTGCGACGAGTGGACAGTGCTGCCTCGACCAGACCTCTACAATGACGTCAACCGCTTCGGGCACTCTGCGGTCTTCAGTGACAGGTACTCACTCAGAGGCAGAGCTTGTGGAGGGCTTCGTAGATAGAGAGGCTTAATGGATGGCTTTGATTAATTGAAGTACTTTAAATGTGAAATAAAGTAAAAGAAGTGGTTAGCACGGACGCCTCACAGCCAGCAGGAAGGTTCTGGGCTCGGGTCCCTTTCTGTCGGGTTGTTGGTGCGTGTGAATGGATGGATGAAGTAAAATGTAGATCATCGTCACATTATATCCTGATCACGAGAGTCTTAATTAACCTACTGGGGTTGTTGGAAATTAAGTCAGGGTATTAATTAACACTCTAAACATATTTCATACTAACATTAGACGTTCTCATGAGGTATCCAGGTTATTGTGTCTTCTTGTTCGGTAACCTGATTACCGAACAAGAAGCCCAGTTTATGATTTCACGTCTCAATTAAAGCCCAACCAACTTATCAATTAGTCAATTGACAAATCAGTTCACAGACAAATCGGTTACCTTTTGCCGTTAAGTAATCAGTAACGTTTTTTTCTGCTCTACTTGACATTTTTCCTCTATTTGTATGTTGCTTTACATTGAAAATACATCATACATTAAATATAAAATATCTCTGAAGCGAGCACAGTAGAAATCTGACATGTGGTGCATGTAAACATGTTCTCTGATTTTCTGCCTTAACCTTGTTTCTCTCAGTAACCTAGTTTCTCGAGTGCTTGTAAACCAGGGTGACAGGTTCTTTTTCCTCTGTGGCCAACATGTGCTTAATTATGCTCTCATGGTATTAATGTATGTTGAGATGAACATATGATGTAACCGATACGTGTTCCGTACGTACAGTATCTGCATTAGTAGCATGAGCTTGAACGTGAGCTTGACAGTTTCAGCTTTTCTGACAGGAAATTACAATTTCCTTGTTTCTTTTATTCTTGATCGCATGCTTGTTGTTTTTTCTTGATCTGATTCTTCAAGTCACGCTCAAAACAATTACTTAAATATTCATTTCAAATCATAAGACTGTTAATAACGTCTCCACTTCCCCTTCCTCATCCTGTGCTTTTCAAGTAATTTGGAGCCAGAGTCTGAGCAGCAGAGATCGGAGGATGACAGAATAAAAAAATAATATGTATGTACTTTTAGTTTGGTCCATAACAAAGAGGGAGGCAGGGTTTATGACGTGTTCTGCAGCAAGCCACCAGGGGGCGATGAAGATAATTGGGTGAAAATGTGATTTCATTTAGTAGATAACATCTCACAGCCCTGATTTTTTTTATGATTCAGATTTTTATTTTATTTTTTATTAAAACAAACTTAAAGATGTGTTGCATGTTGGAAAAAGACAAACACAATTGTAGTCAACTCAAATAACAAACATGACATTTCATTGTCAGTCTGTGAAATGAAGAGACGGTGACGGGGACGGTGCGCTGACCAGAAAGGATGAGTCATCGGTTTGGTATTATCTGCTTCGCCAGCAGAGCAGGACACAGCGATCCACATTAAATTATACATCCTGTCGTAGAGAACGCATCAAATATTAACACGAATCACCGTCTTTGAGTCGGTCCTCGCTGGTGTCTCCTCGTCCTCAGGAGCAATTAAAAGTTTGTTCATCCATTCATTTATTCATCAATCAAACTTTGATTTAACACAAAGACGAGCAAAGTTCAAGAGCGCTGATATTGAGTTTTATTAAAACATTCTTTCTCTGGATAGAAATTCACAGGAAGGCTCGAAAACAAAGATTATGAAACAGGAAAATTAATAATGCAAAGCGGAGAAAACTTTGAAGAGCTCAGAGGAGGCGGAGTCTTGAAGGTCAGGCCTGAATTTAAATGTTGAGGTGAACCACTGAAGACTGAGGGAAATATTTCTCTCATTCCTGCTTTACTGAGGCAAAACACCCAACAGGAAATAACCCACATTTCAGCTTCTTCACTTTGGCCTCCAGCTGATCTCAGTATTGATTTTAAGCCTCTGCTCTTTTAGTTTTAAAGCATTTCTTGGTTTGGCTCCATCTCCCTTTTTTTCTGCCAGTAAAATTCTGCTCTCATTCGTAGTTTTATATTAATTTAGCTTTTCACTGCCTCCCTGTTTTAAGTCATTTATAACGTTGTGTGGCAGAGTGCTGCACAAAGGCTGTAATTAGCTTTATTCTTTTCAGAACAATTAACCCCCAAGATTCAGTTATTACTCTAAACCCTTCACATATCTTAGCGTCTGTATCGTAACAAATTCCACACATTGTATTGGAGTGGAAGCAGAATACTAAGGAAAATATCTTAATAATGTGAAGGAGAAAACGTTTTTTTGTTAAATTTGACTCTTTTCAGTGCGCCCTTCCACCGTCTCGCTCGTCCTCTGTATCTTTTAAATGAGGATTTTTAAAAATAGTGGTAAAACGATGTGGTCCTTTGCAAGACTCTCACATTCTCGTCCTCCTGCTCCGTGCACTCAGCAGGAAGTCCAGAGCAAACAGCTTGAAGTGTGACCTCTATGATCCAAGGGGACTTTTGATCGCTGTGGTGCAAATTACCCATTCACCATATCCAACCAACAGCATGCACGCACGCACGCACGCACGCCATCACACGTTCACAGTAATCCCTGCAGCTGAACAGAGGCCAGTGGAGAAGGATGTTCAAATATGCCCTGGACCTGGCATCCACACTCACACACAGTAACAACAGGGGCGTCTGTCGGGTCCATCCCCTCAGGAAGAGAGCTCTTGTTGGGGATTTAGCAGACTTGTGAGGCGGGTTGAGGAGGAACACCAGTAGAACTAAGCTTCTTTGGCTCTCACTGTGCACAAAAGGTCGAAACTGGAGGAAATTGCGAGCTGGAAATGTCTTCCCTCCTCTCAGCTCTTCCTCCCTGTAAACCTCTAAAACCCCCTTTTCTCCTCTTGTGCCTTCCAGTGTGATGTATGTGTTTGGCGGCTTCAACAGCCTGCTGCTCAGCGACGTCCTCATGTACACCTCGCCCAACTGCTCGGCCTTCTCCAGCCAAGCGTCCTGCAGCCAGGCCTGGCCGGCGATCCACTGCGTCTGGAATAGCACCCAGGGGACCTGCCTCCCCTGGGAGAGCAACGCCAGCGGACCTGATCTCCAGCAGCTCCCAGCCTCCTGCAATACAAGATCATGTAAGTGACGTCGCCATCGCAGCGAATTTACTGCATTTGTGCATTTTTCTGCCAGGTGAAATGTTTTTTATTTTTTTATTTTTAAGATTCTTGGGTGTCTGCAGAACTCATCTGCAGTCACGGCACGACACTGAGTGACACAAAACCGCTTTGTCACGGACTGAGGATGTCTCACACATCAAAGAGCAAAAACGACAAAAAAAAATCCTGATAGCACAGCATGTGAGGTTTTCAAATGTAGAAAATGTGGCCTTGATGCATCTTCAGAAACTGAATGTGCCGCAGTTTCTGTGTGATGTCCATAACCTGGGTACATGATTGTCAGGCTGGACAGAGGGTGGTAATCATTAAGGACGGATCAGTCGGGTCTCGACGCTTCCTTCCCCCTGAGAATTCTCTTCCGTTCGCTCTTCGCTGTTTATCACACACACAAAAAATAAATCCTCCGTTTCACCAGCGGCCTCATTTTTTCAGCGCTGGCCACCACAGAAATGCCGGCAGATGGAAACCGCGTCCTGGAATATCTTTCAATCACATTAATAACCAGGGAGGCCCTCTGCTCCGCTGCTGCCTGGCAATCACCCTGCCTCAGTTTCCTCGGTAGAAACCTCACATCCAGGAGGTGCTGAAGGAGGCAGCAGAAGCAGAATATCTTCCTCTGTGACAGATACAAACACCAAGTACAGTCCCTGCACTTTTATTTTAGGGCTGTAGGTGAAATTCTCAATAAGAAATGGTTTCCATGTTGCTCTGCTGCACCACCCACACGTCTAAAAAGAGCCAACGTACATATTTGATGTTATTATCACTATTTCATTTGTTTGAACAAGAGGCCAGAAAGTGTCTTGATGCAACAATAGTTCTACCAATAAATCCTTTCCTCCATTTTTCTGTGGCCAATGTTTGTCATTCATTAAAATCATTACAGTTACACTCTCTGTCTGCGTTGTTAGAAAACTGGAAACAATCATTTACAACATTCTTCTGAACCTCGCAGATGCCGATAGCGAGAGGTGCGACCAGTACACGGACTGTTACAGCTGCACCGCCAACACCAACGGCTGCCAGTGGTGTTCAACCCAGTGCGTTTCTCTGGGAAGCAACTGCACCGCTGCTTCGGTAAGAAAAAGGGACCCTCCTCCCACCGCCGACTCAAACCCGCTCACGTTTGGATGCATCGGTTTGAATTTATTTACGGAAACATCGGAGAGAGCGTTACAGCTCTGTTTAGTTTAAAGAATTCCTCCGTGCTCCGTTTTCATGTCACAGAATCAAATCTGCCGTATCCTCATTTTGCAGATTTAATATCAGTGCTCACAGGCTCTCGGATCTTTGAATGATGAATACAAGCATCACAGGTCCCTGCCTCCAGTTTCACTAACTTTGGCAGATTGTTTGCTGTTGTGAATGAATTACGAAAATGTGGTGATGTTGGAAAATGTTAATTTAATTTCCTCCAACAGCTAATTCACCTTTCAATTTAAGACGTGTCAAATTTGAATTACTGTTACGTAAAGAACTGATTGAGCACATTCTTGTTTCCAACTCATCAGTCTGTGATTAAATCAATGTTTTTGCAGATATTTGATCAACTGGAGCTTGTTGCTTAATTTGTGTCTTTCATTTTCTCCTCTCCTCTCCTCTCTTCTCTTCTCCTGTCTCAGGGCTCAATTGGGGAATATGATGTTTGCCCCAGGGACAATCCGTCATTCGTGTGCAACAAGAAAACCAGCTGCAAGAGCTGCGCTGTCGACCAGAACTGTCAGTGGGATCCTCGCAACCAGGAGTGCATCTCACTGCCAGGTAACTGAGGAAATCAAATGTATTAGATTAAAATGAGATTACACGCACAAGTTGTATCACACACTGACCCACTTGTAAATGTATTCACTACATACACAGAGGGAGAAACTGCATAACCACAACTTGGATTTAATTTTGGAGTTTATGCTCCAATTTAAAAAACGTCAAATAATATTTTTTTCCTCTCCGTTCCAGAAAACGTGTGCGGTGAAAGCTGGCATCTGGTGGGCAACTCGTGTCTGAAGTTCATCACGGCGAAGGACTCGTACGACAACGCCAAGCTGGCCTGCCGGAGCCACAACGCTGTGCTGGCGTCGCTCACCACTCAGAAGAAGGTGGACTTTGTGCTGAAGGAGCTGCAGATCATGAGCGTGGTGGTAAGACGGGGCGAGGGGGTTTGGGTCCTGCGGGGTCGTCACATTAGCGGTGAATGAGGTGGATGAGTGAGTGAAGAACAAGATATTGTTTAAGTGGAATGAGGACGTGAAGTGTGGATGAATCAGAAAACTACAAAAAGTCAGAAAAGAAACCATGATAAAAAATAAAAAAACGGAGCGCTGTGGAACTTTTATAGTCGTTGAACTCTGATGTCTTTGTGGCAGCTGCTCTCTTTTGAGATGCCGTGTTTTTATTCTCCGCGGGTGAGCTCAGGTCGGATTCTTTTCGTCCGTCATTTTTGGACCAGTGAGCGTGAAACAGATCCCACATTAACGGATACAATCTGCAGAGCTCAGACATCTCTTACTCGCTCTATCGGAGCAAACACACAAGAAATCTATCCCAGCCGTTGACTAACCAGCACAAGCTGCTGTTTATTTCTCCGGACACAGGTCACTTATCTATAGAGACGCGTGAAGGATGGACAGATGTAGTGGCGGCAATCGTTTTATTGTTTGGAATTCACACACAGAAGAAAACGCACGGTACCTTTCCTGTTGAAGGTATTTTCACGCACCCTGTAGCCTTCTGCTCGCGTTTTCAACGATCAGTTGTTTCAATCTATTCGCTATTCTCTGCTCACAACTTCTCCGGTGTCAGGATTATGTGCTTTTCTCTCTTTGAATTATTGTAAGCTAGATCACTTTTGATTTTCAACTGCCAGACAAAACAAAATATATCTGAAGACTTCTCCTTGGTCTCGCCAGTTGGTATTTTTACAAGCAGAAATTAGATATGAAAATCCTTGTTATCCCTGTTTTTTTGAGAGCGTTCCACCTCTTTTGTTCTCCACACGGATTGTTTACCTGCGGACGACCAACAGACTAGAAACAGAAACCAGAAGCTTCCCACCGCAAAATCTTCCCCTCGCCTACAGGATCTGTTTATAGAGGAAGGAAGTGAATATAGAAAATAATGAGTAAGAATAATAACGATGAATTGAAATAAATCAAATGTTTCCATCGTGTGTCCTGGAAGTCCTCTTAAAAATATTCGGTGCTGAAACAAGGTTCAAACTTTTCCTGACATAATAACGACACCAGTGTCACCGATTTCCATTCTGTTTTTCAGAACCTGCATCATTGGTAAAATCACAGCTGTAAGCGTCGCTCTATTTTAGTTCATGTCCACACTTTGGCTCGACTGAAGAGTTTTACGTAATCCCAAATGTTTCCGAGTAAAGCTTCAACAACCCCCTCACTGAGGCCACCCAGCAACAACATGAGCCACTTGTGAACCCACGCAGTGTCCCGGAGTCACCAGGTGACCAGAGTAAAGATAAATCAGACGAAACACACGAGTCTGACTCCACCACTGTTTTCTATCCATACTAATGAAATCGTGTAAATTTCCCCTGTTGGTCTAAATTCATCTTTGATGTTATTCGAGCAGCTGAGCTATAATTTTTATTTTTCCTCTGCATTTAAACATCAAACTGTTCCGTCCAGCAGTAAAACCCTTTGCGGGCACAGAGACTCTGTAACATGCTTCACAAATCTTCCTGTCGTGTCGTACTGACATTGTTGAGCAGCTCCAGACTTTTCCCAGACAGCATCAATCAATCAATCCGAGAAATGCAAGTAAAACCCAACGGAACGGTAACGTGAGTCCCGTCTGTGAGAGATGGAGCTCACTTTGTTTACTACGACTGCAACGGCGTGGCCATTGATTAGAGATGGGATGAATAACAGAGTCTCTCAAGTCCAGTGAAGTAAAACTGCTTTTACTGCCGCTCTGTCAGTCCAGTGGAGTTTATGTCAGTACAGGTGACGAACTGCTCAGACATGTTCTCTTTTTCTTTTTTTTTTATGTGCGCCTGTCATTGATTTTCAACAAATGTCTCATCGGTCTTCAGCTGCGGAGAAACTGGCACTTAACTTGAGACGCGCAACCTTTTTTAAGTGAACGTTTTAAAGAGATTTCCTCAACAGCGCCCGATGATGATGGGTTTTCCTTTTCATGCCTCCGCGTCAGTGTGTGTTATGTTTTTTTTT